CTTTGAGTAGTCTGATCTGAGTTTGCACTCCATCGTTTCTTATTACTCATTATTTATTTAATCTTCTGTTCATTTCAATTAGAATTACTGCTTTACATGTTAAAGAATTATAAAGTATACTTGTTCAATTAAACCCTATTTTGGAGATAGTCACAATCGGAGCGTTTCATAAAAGCTACATAACCCCTAAAATATATGCTTCATAAAATAGAGATGGATTAACAGGTGGATAAATGCACTGGCTCTAACTGTAAATTGAAATATTTATGATGGATATAGCGGAACGCTGTGGACATGGATTTGTATTCGGTCAGTGGGGTGAATATCAGTGGCGGATAAGATCAGATCTCAATCAATTTATTATCAGTTCTTTGTTTATATTTGAGTAAATGAAAAGTGAACAGAAAGATAATCGAGCAATTTGGCCATCACGCATTTTTGTTAAAGAATACGGCAGCAATATCGATCGTAATCAATGATCGAAAACAAATCACCCATAAATACGATCATTCTTCTTCATTTCATTTTGATTCATTTCGCTGGATTCGCATGCGTTGCTCAAGTTGTTGTTTTCATTGTTATTATTAATAATTACTTACTAACTTTTCGGTTAAGAAACGGAAAGACGTCGATTTTGGAGATTTCTCAGTGCGTTTTTGAACACGGTTTTAGGTGGCAATTAGGGCAGCGATTATGGTATTGAAAATAACGTTGATATAATAGGTTTCGTTCCCTCTAGGACCATAATGATAAAAAAGAAGCAGAGAGACGGAAGCCTAGGCCCGAATTTGTATTGTTGTATCTGTTTTTGTAATTTGTTATCGTCTATTATTGTATCTGAATTTTAAATTTCCTTCATTTGTTCAGCTTAGTAACTCAGGTGGACTCTAACTCTTCGAATAATTCGGATTTGTCTTCGATAATTTGATCAGTTAAAGTCAGCTGAGTTCCCCGTGAAATGATTGTTACTGTTGTAGAGGGATAGGTAGATACATGAAAAATGTTTATCGTTTTCTTTGTTCGTAATATCTTGATGCGAAGGTTGATCGTTTGAAATTCGTTCATATTCATATCTGCACAATAATTTTTCGTCACTTTACTCGTACTTCCTTTCGTCTTATAGATTCATGAACGTTTATTTCCATTTCTTTGTCCTATCAGTGACAATTATAATCATAATATTGTTATCATTGCCGTTAATGATAACAGTGTTTTTTGAGACCCTCGCCATTGTACTTTTGGAAGTCGGACTGGGGTTTTGTGGGTGAAATCATCATCATTGATTTTTGTTATACTTTGTTATTCTTATTATGGTTGATTTTAGGATTGAAATTCAGTTGTTGTTGATTTTGTGTTGTTGAATATGTTGTATGCGTTGTTTAGAGAGGATAGTTCCATAACCGCTTGAGAGAGAAAGGTTTGCTAATTTCTGTCGTGGTAATATATGATAAAAGATCGATTATGCTATAAGATTCGTCTTTTAAAAATATTCATTGTCTTGTCTGTCATTACCATTGTCTTATTTTTTTAAAATACTTTGTTATATTTACAGAGGTTATTCATTCATTCGTTCGTTCTCTATGCGGTGATGAAATTATTTTGTCCGTCAAATCCAGGTCATTTCTTCATCTTTCAAATTTCTTTCTTCATTTTCGTTTTTTTGTAATTTTTTCATTTCCCCTCACGGAAAATTTCCTTCCCGATTATTATTTTCGGGAAGCAGAGCGTGAATTATTTTCCGTCTAATTTTCGTCTATTCTATCTAAATTATTTACTGTTTTCTTTCTTGTGGAAAGTTCATGCTTGTTGTTGTTGTTCACTCTTCTATCCTATTCATGATTATTGACAATATCAAATAGTTTCTTAATATCAGTATCAATTTGTTATTATATTACCCATTCACTGTAATAGTACTCATAATACTGGCACTGGTGACAATAATATTACTATTCGATGTGTCAGTTAATGCTGAAATCGAAACATTCAAAAACATAACGAGGAGTGCATAGACTGACATTCACACATTCAGGGAAAGATGTTTGAAGCTTTCTTTTTACAGATGAATTTGTGAATGGTTAGTTTATGCAGCCATCTTACCGGTAATAGGATTTTAATATTTGATTCTCTTTTCTTCTTTCATTTGTTCGTTATTTACTTAAGCTTTTATTATTGTTTTATTGAATCTTCTTGTTTCATTTCACAGCACCTATTCTTTTTGTTGTTCTTTGTTACATTTTATTCTTCTTGTATTAGTAATCGTTTCGAATCCATCTCACAAAATACATTCATTAGTTTGCATATTTTTATGTAACTTTATTAAATTTGGATTAATCCATTGTTTGATTTGTTTATCACCGTTTGATTTGATTGATCAGTTGGTATTCTCGGCTATTTGCATTGTCAAACTTGGAAGTTTTTTTTTCGCAATTTTGAAATCTTCGAAATTTTTCGGTTGGATGATGCTGTTATTGCTTACGTAGGTTGTTTTTTTACCAATGGCATAGATATGGAAATTAGGTAATTTATTACGAATAATACGTTCGTTTGGATGTGTTTGTTATTCATAAGGTTGTTTCTATCGTTTCTTCTTTTTGATTAGTTTCATTTTTGAAAACTTCCAATTCTGATCGAATCTATTCTAACAGTCTTAATTTTTATACTAGGCATATTTCGATTGTTTAGCCGTTAGTCGTTATCGTTGATGATGAATTCTTGTTCGATTTTTTTTAGTTGGTTCATTTGCATCTGTTCATATTGATTGTTTTGTTTATTTTTGTGTGATTGCTAATCATTATCATAATATTTCAGTTGTTTTCTTTCCATTAATCGGTGTATCTCGGGACTGTTGCTGTTATAGTTGTCATTGCGTGTATTACTGATTGATTTCTTTTAATTATGTTCATTCAATTATTATTTTATCCATCCGTTTATCATATATTAGTGATACCATCTTCAATCTGAACAATATCTTCTCCTCAATATTATAGCAAATAACAGTGAAAATCACTGAAAATGAATAGATTTCATATTTTCGTTCGACTTTCATTTGATACACTCGTTATTACCGGTCGGTCGTTCATTGCATATGCACTATTTAGTAATTGATTTGAATCGATTAACAATTCTTTTCTTTTTGCTATCGTTGTTTGTTTATTCAAAATAATATTTTGCTTTATGTTGTGTTATGTTTTATACTACGTAGAAGTGCTTCGAAATAAATAATGCTTCCCTCATAAATGCGTTGTTGCACATATCCATTAGTATCTGATCCGTTTCTTATTCGGAGTAAATATGAACTGATAGTTTAACGAATAGGAGCATTGAATTGGATTACATCAAGCAGTATGCGGTGCGTCTAGTGCAGCTGGTATTGAAGGAATTCGGCATGATGGTTGATGATGATGGAAATCGTTGTGCTTTTCGTTTCTTGCTGCGAAAAATCAAACAGAAGGCAAAAGCGTAGTTTTTCGGCTTTTCATGAAATGCTCATATACGATTAGTGGTAGGCGACAGATGGATTAATGGACGAGTGTGTAGTGTTTATGAAAAGTATTATTCAAACGAGCGAATGTTAATGATGATTGAAATGAATGAGACGGAATTAATCCAATCTGAAAATCATTGGATGCTACTTCACTGTGCTTCATATGCACAAACAAAGAGGCAGATACGCTATTGGTGTTGGTGTTTTACAATAGCAGGAAACTGGAACTAGGATGATTTCACTGCAGCGATTTTTTAAATTGAGTATTTCATCGATTTTCGTTGATTTTGTTTGATGTGTGGTATCTGTTCTTTTTTTTTCACCAGTCATAAACAGTGATTTGACGGATTAATTGATTGATCGATTAAAGTTGTTGGCTGTTTAGATGATGATAAATTAATGAATGCAAACAAGTATAATTTTCATGCATATTCATTTTCTAGTGTGTGTCTTTTTTTGGCAGCCTCTGGACGGTAGAAACGATTGAAATCAAAATTTGAAACTGAAACAGCACGAAAAAGTAAATGGAACGAAGAAGGAGAAATTATAAGGAAGGAGATTTTTGGTGGTGTTGGTGGCGCAAATCAAACAGATCCCTAGAGCGGATCGAATTTTTGATGTTTGTTATGACATTTATGGAATGCATTCAATGTGCTGACGTTGAAGGTTTGTTATACGTTTGCTTCTTACTTCAAGCATATTGCATCATGTGCACGTATAATTTTGTTTTTCTTCATTCTCTTATTAACGGTTCCAAGCAATGTTTCTCCGATGCTGTTTACATCAACTGAACTTTTCCTAACCACAGCAAGCATCTGCTACGTGCATGTCTTCTAGCGCAGTGGTTCTCACGATCGAGTACTCCATTACCCCTTTTGATGATCTGGCAGGCCGCCGTTACTCCCCCACTCCTGATACAAGAACTTACTATTGCTGCGTGTAACGTCAGAAAAAGCGGGTAACCGGTCCGGAAATTTCTCAGTAGCGTGAAGGAAACTAATTTTCTGGAATAAAACAAGCATTTTTAGAACTTTATTTATCCATTGCAGAAAAAATATGAACCTGCAACAAAAAAAATTAATTATTTGAAAAAACCAAAAACCAAAAATAAAAAATTAATCATCTCATTCATAAATGCGAAAAATAATTTTTGGTGTAGAATCCCCAAGCAAAATGACCACATGGTACACATTCGTCACAAAGCAGATGCCTATTACGTGATTGAGCAGTTACTTAATTCATTCACGAACCAAAAATTCCCTTATGTGCAGTAATTAAAAAACTTACCAAACATTCAATGCAACCAAATTATAATAATGGATGAATTTAGAAATACCCGATCCTCCCACACCAAACCAATGATCTTTTCTGTCGTAACAAAGAGCTCAATCAATTCTTACTGCTCAACCGATATATTAAAGAACTTACGAAATAATTGTGACTATTTGAGACTGACTTTTGTTCAGGCCTAGGCGAGCTGAGGTACTTAGAAAATAGGATAGAGAAGAGTGTTTTGATGAGCGAGCCGCGTTTAGATATACGAGTGAAAATGGCGTTTAATCACAACAAAACAACACCAAGTATCAGTTTCTCTTAATCAATTCCCCATGTTGATAAGAAACGATATCAGGCAATGTATTAAAGAACTTACGAAGTATTTGTGACTGAACGGGCTTTTGTTTAGGCCCGACCGAACTAATGATACCCAGAAAACAGGAGAATGAAGGATTTTGCCATCAACTAACCGCATTACAAACCCGTATGAAAAAAGCACCATCCTAATGTTGATCTATCATAACGTAACAACTGTATGGAATACTCATTTCCCGACTCCCTCCATTACCCTCCACTCCCCGACACCCTTAAACTACCCAAAATGGCTAACTTCCCCCCCCCCCCCTCCCATGAGAACCACTGTTCTAGCGCATTATATTCGTTGCATTGAATGATTCATTTCTCATTCGGTTATGCATTTCAGGTAGACGAGCCATCGGAAAGGCGTTATTTTTCTATATTGAGAAGCCAAGGAAGCTTGCTTATACTTATGAAGTTCGTTCTTCTGAAGAAATCGGTGCACCTTTCCCAGAGAGACCCCACAAGCATATAGCCTTACGATACGCGCAACCACCGAATGGATGCACGAAAATGGAACCACTGGATGATCAAGTAGTACTTCTCATTGAGAGGGGGTCTGTAGGGCTAATTTCACATTGTTTTATCTTATTAACTGATTCTTATTAATCCTGGTTTCTGCTAATTACACCTTGTAACCGTATTACGTGATTTTCGAGAATAAAGGGGACCCAATTCTAAAATTGTTCGGTTGATTAACTAATTCTGGCTAAAGAATCAGTAGCAAAAATTGAATTTTCACTTTTCATGATGAAATCAATAACTATCTAGCAGAACAAAGACCATTTCAGAGATTGTTCGTTCATTCTAAAGGCGAGGATGGCAAGTGCAGCTGGTGCTCAGTTTGCGATTATCACTGATTCAGCGGCAGGCACGGACGATTGGATCGAGATGATCGGTGATGGCCTTAATCAGAAGTCCGATATTCCAGTCGCATACCTCCCGGGTATTTCTGGGTAACTATCACTTCGTATTTCTTTTCACCATTCCTATCTCAATTCTTCTAAAATATTTTGCGAGAACAGATTTTTCGTTGTGTACTACGAGAGTTATTGTGGACGCTTTTTTTCTAAATTCTGCAAGCAGCAGAGACAATATAATTGGATTGAACTCCTAATTTTGCCTTGATCTCTTATATGCAAAGATTCACCTCTGAAGTAGAACCACACCAATATTATCTGCATCTTCTTTGAGCTCTTATATTGATGAAAATAACGAATAGTCTGTGTATATTTCGTAAAAGAAAATTACAGAAGAAGGATACGTGAACATTTATTGTATGGTGGTGAAGTTATTACAGTAACAATCCCACTGAATTATTCGTCACTGCTGCTGAGTGATGTGCCTCGAAAACCGCCATGGGAATTATGGTGACAAAGATTAAGTGTTCAGTAGGAGAAGATAAGAATTTACACGTCCATTCATTTATCATATTCCTGATGATAATACTGAATAATGATGATAATACTGAATAGCAGTCGTCTAATCAATGAAAAAAATGTATTTTCCACTTGAGTCTTGAGTTTCGTCGTTATTTTCTGTTACTGTTCGTATGCTGTTGTATGTATGTGCATGAAGGCTGTTGTTGTTGATTATGTTCTTAAATAGACAAAGAAAGTTTAATTTGATATTTGAGTTTGTTTGTTGAGGAAAGTTCTATTGTTATTGGCTGTGGTTGTCTCTCACTTACAGTCATTATGCAAAAGTTTCACTTCGATTATTATCTTTTTCATCAGTATTTATCGTCATGCTCAGAATTGTTAATCGCACACTGTGTGATAACAGCAAACAGTGCAGTGCTATAGCACTTTTGCCATCACTTCAGATATTCATCATCATGTGCAATTATTTGTTCTTGTTATTGTCTTTTTTGCTGTTTTTTTTAATTGAATACGTTCTAAAATCACGATAAGGTGACAGTGTAAAATTTATGGATTAGTTGCTTAGGTGACTCACACATGTATTTACGCATGAAGTAGATACTGAATGATTCTGTAATTTGTTCACTGTTCGATATTTATTTGATTGACATTTTCGTATTCGAGCAGCACTAACATTCTGAATTTTTTTTATTGCGATGAATCGCTCACCTGCACATTGCATAATTTGATTTGATATTTTTTAATCTGTTATCATTTTGTCAACTTATTCATAAAAATCCTACTGTCATTATTTTTGTAGTTAGTACTACTCATATTGCTATCGAGAATATTTTTCTGTTATTGTGGTTAAATTGTTTTTGTTCACTTTTGCTGTTGTTGTTGCTGCTGCTGATGCTGCTCAATAAAGAAATTCTTCCTCCACTTTTTTCAGTCATACATTTCATTTTCACCCATTGTTTTCTTCATTAACGGTTCAATTAATCCATTACAAAGTTGTTAACCTTTCATTGGCTTCAATGTGCGTACGCATCGTTAGTGTTTGAATGCAGAAAGTAAACAACCGCAGCCCAAATAAATCGGTTTTTCTTAGTTGTTTCGATTTTCTTATCCTCCAGTAACTTATTATTGTTTTGGTGTTGTTATAGCTTTTACTTATTTGGCTATTATTAGTAAAATTTTTTGATATTAGATTAGTGGATCGAGTATAAAGTTGTCTTTATGTTGGCTTTTTGATTATGTGTGCAATGATAATAGCGATATGTTTTATTTGATTAATCGCTCATTACGTAAATGATGTTTTACAGTGCCATTCATACGGCTTTAAATATCGGTGTTCCTATGTACACTTCATAAATTGATGATTTTTTTTGATATTCCATCTATTGATTATTATGATCACTTCAGTCTTGTTTTGGATTTCTATTCTGAACGTTTCATGTTTGTATGATACGTAAATTTATTTTTGTACATTGTTATAAACGTTTTCATTTATTTATGCAAATGCTGGTTTCCATTTGAAGAATTCTTTAAATGAATCAATGCTACCGAATGCTACTTACAATATAAAGCAGCAGTTGCTGTCGCTAAAGTGCGAACTAAAGTTTTTTAATCGAATTTATGATGAATATAGTTGTAAATGATTGAGGATACGCGCATTTTGAAGTTCAGTTGAAAGAGTTAAAAGTAATAAGAAGATTACCGTTGATGTTATGATGCGCGGTATGATTTGAAGGTGCAGGTATGGAGAATGGGAATACTATGAGTAGGTGTAATAAATAATAATGATAGTAATAATAAGGGCAAGGCAAGTTGTGAAATGGAATAGAATAAAACGGAATAAACAGTTAGAATGAAATAAGATTGGGGAAATTGCTAGACGTTTCGATGTAAAACGTCAGCTTCAGTATCTTTCAATGGTGCAAAGAGCCGTTGATTTTAATGGGTAGTCAGAGTTGCATGTTTATTAATCGAGTGATAATGTTAATAACCGAGATGTTGTGAAAGTGAAGGATTATTTCGGTTTGGTTTTGTTTTAATGTTCATCATATTATCATTCGATGCTTTCAATCAAGATGAATGAATAACATCCGGTTTGGGGTCGTGAATAAACAATACCTCGTTTATTTTGCGTGTTATTTTATACACTACACCCGTGACATTACATTCTCTGTTTCCTTCCTTGCAAACATCGCAGTCTTTCTGGTCACACCTGCTATCGTACAGCCTGGAGTGCACTAACAGCTCTTTGAGCGAAGGGGGCGATTGTGGGATAACATTGACTTTCACATTCCATTTTGAGAGTATTTTCTCAAACCGGTATGAGAACGCATCCGTAATATGTGGTATTCTGAGGGTTGACAGTCCGTACATGAACTTGTGAGGTCTCGAATATAAGGATGATGTGTCGTAGCCATTGCTTTCCGCTATAATTTCTGCCTTTCTTCTCGATGTTTCCTTGTATTCATCCGGTGACAGTTCAGCCGCTCTGCGTACGTAATTCCTGATCGTTCGGTTCTTGAGGTAGCCAGGATTTGCTCATTCTGTGTTCAGAATGACAGCTTTCTTCACTGGCTCCCGAAAGCATCTGTATTCGAGGATATTATTGTTGATTTGAAGCTCCGTATCGAGGAAAAAGAGCCAGTCTTCATCATCCTCTCTAGTCATCTTCATGCTTTCGTTCATCATATTGATGTTAGCAAACAATCCATCCATGGATGATTGTGAAGTGGCAATTATTATGATGTCGTCAATGTATGTGCGGTATTGTAGAACATCCCGGTCGATACAGCGCTGTTCTAGGGAGTACATATGGGTTGTCGCTAATAGCGGAGCCAACCGGTTCCCTATCGCTAGCCTCGCTTCTGCCCAATGTATTTCCGGTTGAATTTGAAAATACTGCATTCAAGGCATGCTTCTGGGAGCAGTTGACGGTCGTGAATTTGGAAGCCGTATTGATTTATTGAGTCTTTATGTTGTTTTAGAAGTGCTACGAGATTTTGTGCAGCTCCTTCGTTATCGATGTTGGTATGTAAAGACATCGTGACTTCAAATGACTTCAAATGACATGTATCGTCAAATGACTTTATCACAAACCTCGATGGTTTTCAGCTCCTGCAGCAGTTGCGTCGCATTTGTTAAATATGTTGAGATTAATTGCAGTAAGGGCGTCACTATCTTTGTTAGAACCAACTAATCCTGTCCGCCGGACCGTCGATATGATGGGTCTAATTTTCATATTCGTCATATCCGCCTTAGTTATGACCATTACTTTTAATTCTTTCAATTAATCGAATTTAGTTAATTTTATTTTCGTATCTGATTCGACTGGCATCAAGCAGAGCTGTGAGAAGGAAAAGTACAAATGATGTGATAGATAATTGTGGTTTTTCAAAGTATTTACTGGTTTGCTAAAGTGTTAAGCTAAGAATGGATCGTACCCACAAAAAGGATGTCAGTACTATTGGTGCCAGTGAAGAGCTGTGTTGTTGTACGTTTGATGAAGACCTATCGTAAGTTTATTTCATCGTTTGCTTGATAATATGTATATACGTTAATTATTTGTTTCTGTTATTATTTATTCTCATTTACCTAAAATGCGTCATTCAGTGGAATTGAGAACTTTTCACTTGATCACTTTGCTGTATTGTTGCTGAATGTAATCAAATAAGATAATGATTGGAATTTAGCTAAGAATCAGACGCAATCGAAGCATACTGAATCGAAGCCTTTGTAGAAAATTAACGGTTGGTCGTAGTCGTGGTTATTCATTGTATTCAATAAGTACGACTTCATTGAGCATCACCAACGAACTAGTTCGTTTCAACGATCAAGGTCATCAGTAACTTTCATAGATTCTCGTCCTTGATTATGTCTCATTTCATGTTTCTGGTTGAGCACTTTTCAACTTTTGATAACCAGCTTTTTGTTTGCTTGCTCCATAAAGTGTGGAAATTTCCTTGATGCTGGACCCGACTTTTAATCGATTTCGAAAGTTTACTTTATTTAAAAAATAAAATGAAATGAGTAACGTTGTGTTTGATTGATTGGTCAATAGTGCTGTATGCGTTCAGTTGCTTCCATTTTGCAGTTTATGAAGATGTCATAATTGCTGAACATCTGTATTCAACTGCATTGGTTCTAATTGTGAGTCGTCGATCACCACGTAAACTTCGAGTTCATAATTACGAGGAAGGCAAAGAGATGGGCACTTATAGCTATTCGAATAATATAGTTGCTGTTAAAGTCAACCTTTCGGTCAGTTGTTTTTTTAACCATTTCCACTGGTCGTGTTGCATTACAGTTGTTCGCATTTTTATTGCTCTTTTTGACTGTGTGTATTTAGCGTGTGGTTGTTTGTTTGAAAGAAACAATTCATGTGCATGACATCCAAACAATGGAAGAAAGAAAGGAATTGGCCTGTAATCATCGTGGTTTAGTTGCACTATCATCTGCAGAAACCTCTTACATTGCTTATGCTACCTCTTCGACATTCGGTCAGGTATATGCGCTATTGAAGGAATTGTGTTTTTTTTTTGTACTGATAACAGTGTAATAATAACGCTCTAATAGAGATATCAATTCAGTTAAATTGTTTGAGGTGGATGTGTTTGATGCGGTGAATTTAAGTGTAGTGCTTACTATAGACGCTCATGATTCACCATTGGCTGCACTCACGTTGAATAGAAGCGGTAGTTTATTGGCGACTGCATCGAATAAGGGTACTGTTATACGAGTTTTTTCGTTACCGTATGGCGATCGACTTTTTGAATTTTGTCGTGGTATGACCAGGTTCGTGATTCATTCGGTCACAACTCTCGAGATCATTCATTTAGTTCTGATTGTTCTCTTTCGTATTGTATAGGTATTTAGCTAAATTAATCCCAATGAGCCATTATCATCTCGATGATTTTCTGCATTCATATGGTTGAATTTTATTCGATGCAAGTGGAGTCTTTTCATTCGTTCATTTGCAGGTGTGCATCAATACATTCACTGTCATTTTCATTGGATTCCACATTTCTAAGTTCATGCAGTAACACACAGACTGTACATATCTTTAAAATACCGTCCACTACTCAACCTTTACTGTCGTCGTCAATAGCAAAAACAATAAGCTCTTCTGAAAATTGCAATAATAGTGATGAAAAAAATACTTCTTACAACAACAGTGCACAGTTAGTGATGAAGTTTCGTTCATTTATTTTCTTTTTCCTTTTGTTCTTTTGTGTACGCATCTTTTTACTGCTCAGTGTCCTGTGAATTTTTTATTATGTTTCGTCAGTTCGCTTTGTTCTGATTTGAAGTGATTGGTTAATCGAATTGGTTGTTTTTAACCAGGATTACAATACATTGCACCTATCCCTTGCACGTATCGCAGATTCAAATATCGAATGTCTGAGTTCGTATATTTAGTTGTTGTTAATCTGTGACCGGAACTAGGCGATTAGTGTATCGCTTCAAGAACAGTTTGGCATGCGACGGCATTAAAAAGCCTTTTGGTACAAATATGGAATTGACTGATGTTGAAAAGGTGTAATAAATTCAACGAGATGAAAACTGAGGGATATTTTTTTAATTTTAGATTATTATCAGAAACACTTTCATGCATTTGGCGGTCATCTTCAGCGTGGACTGATTACTTGTCACGTAGCGCCACCAACTATCTTCCCACCCAAATGAGTGACATTCTACAACGTGAAACCTCGTTCGCATATGCAAGACTTCAGTTTCCTTCATCATTTTCTTCTCTTGCACTCATCAGGTATTGTTATTGCTATTGCACGTCGTCTCGTGTTATATATA